GTGGTGGTGTGGTGGTTTGTCGTGGTGGCCGTGGTGCTGGTAGTGGCTGTGGTGGTGGTGGTGGGTTGTGGTGGTGGTGCTTGTTGTGGTTGTGGTGGTGGTGGTTTGTTGTGGTGGTGGAGGTTGTGGTGGTGGTGCTGCTGCTGGTGTTGTGGTTTGTCGTGGTGGTGGTGGTGGGTTGTTGTGGTGGTGGTGGCGGTGGTGATGGTTGTGGTGGTGCTGGTGTTGTGGTTTGTTGTGGTGGTGGTGGTTGTGGTGGTGGGTGGTGGTGGTGGTGGTGGTTTGGTGGTGATGTGGTGGTGGTTTGTGGTGGTGGTGGTGGGTTATGCTGCTTGCAGTGGAGGTGGTTTTGGCGGTGGTGATGGTGGTTGTGGTGTGGTGGTTTGTGGTGGTGGTGGCGGTGGTGGTGGCGGTGGTTAGTGGAGGTGGTGCTAGTGGTGGTGGTGGTGGTGCTGGTGATGGTGGTGGTGTGGTGGTTTGCGGTGGTGGTGGTGGGTTGTGCTGCTTGCAGTGGTGGTGTTTGTGGCGGTGGTGGTGGTGACGGTGTGGGGGTGGTTTGTGGTGGTGGTTGTGGTGGGTTAAGTATGCTGCTTGCAGTGGTTGTGGTGGTGGCGGTGGTGATGGTGGTTTGTGGTGGTTTGTGGTGGTGGTGGTGGGTTGTGCTGCTTGCAGTGGTGGTAGTTGTGGCGGTGGTGGTGGTAGTAGATTGTGCTGGTGGTGGTGGGTTGTTGTTGTTGTGGTGGTGATGATGGTGGTAAGTTGTGGTGGTGCTGGTTGTGGTGGTGGTGGCTGTGGTGGTGGGTTGGTGGTGGTGGTCGGTTGAGATGATGGTGTTGGTGGTAGTGGTGGTGGCGGTGGTGGTGGTGGCGTGCTGGTTTGTGGTGGTGGTGGTTGTGGTGGTGTGGGCTGTGGTATTGGTGGTGGTGGTGCTGCTGGTAGCGGCGCTGGTGGTAGTGGTGGGTGGTGGGTGGTGGGTGGTGTTGGTGGTGGTGGTGGTTGTGGTGGTGGTTCGTGGTGGTGGTGGGTTGTGGTGATGGGTGTGCTTGTGGCGGTGGTGGTGATAGTGGTGGTAATGGTGTGGTGGTTTGGTGGTGGCGGTTGTGGTGGGTTGTGGTGGGTTGTGGTGGTGCTGATGGTGGTGGCGTTTTTGGTGGTGGTGGTGGTGGTGTTGTGGCTTGTGGTGATGGTGGTGGTTGTAGTGGTGGTGGGTTGTGGTGGTTGTGGTGGTGGTGGCGGCGGTGGTGGTGGTGTGGTGGTTTGTGGTGGTGGTGTGGCCTTCGGCTCTTCCCGCCACAGTGTTTTTTCTTTGGGTCAGAGTTCTAATGGATGATGCCTCGTGAGGTCTCGTTAGGACGGTCTCGGGGGCGTCTGAGGAGCATGTGTGAAGCTTCGTAGACCTTCCTCAAGGCCTCTCCGTGGCTTCTGGGGGCGAGGGCTCGATATGGCGATTTGCGTGTCTCTGGGTTCCCTCTGGTAATCGTCGCTGCGTCCCCGCCGTCGGCATTGCTGGCCGCCGCCAGCGCCGGAGCCGGCGCCGGCGCGGGGGGGGGGGTTGGAACACCCCCCCCTCCCCCTGGGCCCTCTCTGGTCATCGTCGCTGCGTCCCTGCCGTCGGCGCTGCTGGCGGCCGCCAGCGCAGGCGCTGGCGCCGGCGCCGAGGGAGGGGGGGGGGTTTGGACCATTCCCCCCTGGAAGGGGGAGGGGGGGGAGGGGGGAGGTTTGGGGAGAGGGGAGTCCCCCTGGTTCTGATCGACGGCGCCGAGTGTTTGGAGGGGGGGGGAACCCCCTGGTTCGAAACGCGCCGCCGAATGTTCCAAAGGCAAACGACCGTGAAACGCGCTGTCTCGGAGGTCTCGACCCAATCCCTGGGGCCGAACTTTCATCCTGAGTAGTTTTTGTCGATTGCCCTGGGACCGGGCAACCGCCCCGAGCGGCCGAAATTAGCGAAACATTTGTTGAAGGGCTAGTTTTCCACCACCACTACCATGGGTAGGAGAGGGAGGAGGATGAGGAGGAGGAGGAGGAGAAGGAGGAGGAGGAGGGGGAGGAAGAGGACCTCCCCATCCTCCCTTCTCCACCCGTCCTGCCTGTGGTAGCGGTGGTGGAACATTGGCCCATCATCTCTCCCTGATTTGATCTTCTGCCAAATCAAAAAAGCGGACAGTCTGCCTGGCTCAGGGGCCCCCGGTCGGCCGTAGACGTGCCTGCCGCGCCGATGCCGCGGCGCACCGGGCGAACTCGGGAGGCCCGCTGCTGCTGCACCGTAGGTGTCCCACACGTGCTCGCGTCGGAGGTTTTTCTCTATTTTCGGCCTCCGAGGGCCCTTGCCGGGCTTCGGGGCCGTCAAAGAACGCTTCAGGATGAAAAATTGTTCCCTGGGAAATGGTCCAGACCTATGGGGGTCGACGCTGCGAACAAAAACGAGACGTCGGGGGCCTGAACGCGTCTGCGTCATCTTGCCCCATGGATTGCAAGGTCGTCTCTCGAGTCGGAGGCGGTGCATCTCGTGTTTTTATGTGCCCGTTTCTGGGTTTTCGTTAGCAAGTCCCTGGTGGCGTTGCGAGGTGGCGCCGTTGCAGTTCGACCAAGTGTGGTATCGGATAGAAGGACCGCCACCTCTCGCGTTCCACTTCCAGGGCAATGCGGCGGAGGGTCGACGAAGGTTTCCCCTGAATGAAAAACGGGCGGAAAGAAAAAACAAATGAAAACTCAAACAACTAATATATATATAATATACATGTGCTAAATATTCGCTTTTCGGATACGAGTATTCAATGCATCTTCGCTTCCGTCGAGAAATCGATTCGTTAAAATTGATTAACATGTTTCGTGCTATTTTGATACGTATGCTTTCCTCTTTCACAACGAGTTGATTATTTTAGAACAGTCCGTCTTCAACTAGACGCCGCCATGGCATCTGTGGACCTCGTCGCCCCGGGAGGGCGCGCGGCCACAATGGCAGCGGGCTCAACTGGGGAGGGGGCAAAGACGTAATCGGTGAGTGAACTGCGCGCCGATTGATGCAAGCTGCACGCGCGTTCGCAGCCAGGAGTGAATGCGCGGTCTGTGCGGGGCCATCGCAGGCGTGTTCAACGCGAGGGAGCGGATCGAGACATACTTTTCCAAATGAGTCCCAAATTGCTGTAGGGGGGGGGGGGGCTTCCGATTTCATTGGTTATTTTTCTCTGACGATCACTGGCGTGACCAGGCGGGGGGAGCCGGTCACGTCACGATTCGCGCCGGTGCCGTCGTCTGGGAACGTCTGGGAAGAGCTAGCGACATCTCGGATAGCAGATGCGTATAGCGATCTGCAACGGCTGAGCATGCACCAGGCTGTGGATATGCAAAGACCTGCCATGGATGTTTATGGACAGCGAAGCGCAACGTAGGGAATAGCTTAGCGCAGCGTATGGTTTTACTACTCACTCTGCCCAACTCCTCCTCCTCCTCCTCCTCCTCCTCCTCCTCCTCCTCCTCCTCCTCGTCCTCGTCCTCCGCCTCCTCCTCCTCCCTCCTGGTCATCCTCCCCCTCCCTCCTCCCCCCTTTCCCCCTCCCTCCTCCTTCCCCCCGTCGTCGTCGTCGTCCTGCTCCTCCTCACGTCGTCCTCGTCCTCCTCCTTGTACTGCAACGTGCGCAAGCCAAGGGCAGGAGAGGGAAAGTCAGGAGGGAGCCGGGAGGGAGGGAGGCGGGAGCAGGCCGAGGGGCTCGGGGGGGGGGCATCTGGGCGCCCCTGGGGCGCCCCTGGGGCCCGAGGGGGGGAGTGACCTCGGCGTCCTCCTCGGCCTCCATCTGTCCGTCGTCCTCGTCCGGCTCCTGTTCTGTGGGAAAAAAAACCACACACGTGGGAAAAAAAACAAACACTGTGGGAAAAACACACACAGTGGGAAAACAAAAACACAGTCTGTGGGGAAAAAATACAGTGTGTGTGTTTTTCCTACAGTGTGTGTGTTTTTCCACAGACAGTGTGTGTGTCTTTTTCCCACAGGCGGTTGCTGTCTGGCACTCCTGCACTGGCGTGGAGGTTGAACCCAACTGGGCGGCGTGTTTGTCGTGTGTGCGTGCGTCTCCTCGGGAAGTGGTGGAGGTGTGCGCACATGACGTGGCCAGCCTGGGCGAGAGTTGTGTACACATGTGGACACATGTCTTTCAATGGTTCGGTCCCCGCGTGGCGAAGTACGCCCCCCCCCCCCCCTCCCCAGAACGTGTATCCAGCAACTGGCCGCCGCCTGCTCCGCACGTGATTCCACCCGCGTGTGTTTCCAGCTTGCCGGATTTCTGAAGATGCGATCACTTCGGGAGCCTTGAGACGGGGGTCAATGCAGACGGGGGCCAGCCAGAGCGCCCGATCTTGCAGGATCCTGCATGGCCAGGGTCGCATTGACCCGGGTTTGGTTGCAGGATCTTGCAGGATTTTTCGCATTGATCCGCGTTTGGGTGCAGGATCTTGCAGGATTCTGCAAGGCCTGACTGACCCGGGTCTGGATTGACCCGGGTCAGCAGGTCCCCGATCATTCAGAAAAAAAGGCAGTGCGCTTTTGGTAAGGTCGGGTTGGGCAGTGGCCCGCGTGTGTCCCACGCGCTTGCGCCACTCCGCACGCCCCCAGGCCCCGTGGTGCGCCCGGGCGATGCGGTGCGCGCAGGCGTTTCTGCGGGGAAGATTGAAAAACAACACATGTGGAACCCGTTACCCCACCCCCAACCCGAAATTTGGGTCTCCAGGTTGGATTGGGGTGGTTCGGTAGGTAGTCAACACCGTTGCGCGGCAAAGCAGCTTGCTGCGCAATCGGAACGAAGAGGGCGACCAGAGGAGGAGCTCGAGGAAGAGGCCGTCTTCGGCCTTCGGGTGTTCTCGTCGGGCCTCGGGACCGTCAAGGAACGATTCGGGACAGAAAAAGCTGGCCCTGGGGAATCGGGGGGGGGGGGGGCAGTGTTGAACAGATCTAGGCATCGCATGTCCGGGCTCGTGTGGGCGCGCGCAGTGCCTCGCTGGTGCCACGCCAGGCCCCACTGCGGGAGGGTCCGCGGAGGATTCTGCACATCCGAAAACGGAAACTCGGGTGGCAAATGCCAGCTCATGAGCTCTGTCCCGCTGGCGGTGCAGCTGCCACCTCGCCTCGCGTGCGTTGCGGGTGGGCGCGGTGCCTTGCTGGTGCTGATGGGACGAGAAGACCCTGATGTTCCAATGTTGCACTCTTTTCACGCCGGGCGGTTTCGTCTGGTCTCGAGCCCAGGGAGCATCACAGCTTGGCCTGGCTCGAAAAATGCTGCAGAACGATGGCGCGTATTTCTGCAATGTTTCACCTTTTTCGTAACATGGAAGCTCGGAGGAGGAGGAGGATCTTGAGACGAGGAGGAGGGGGAGGAGAAGGATGAGGAGGAGAAGGAGAAGGAGGAGGAGGAGGAGGAGGAAGAGGAGGAGGAGGAGGAAGGAGAGTGAGGAGGAAAGGGAGAGAGCAGGAGGAAGGAGGTGGAGGAGGAGGATTTTTTTTTGAGGAGTGGGAGGAGGAGGAGCTGAGGAGGAGGAGGGGAGGCGAGGAGGGAGGGAGGGGGCTGAGGGGAACTGCCCCTGAGGACCCAGCGGCTGTGGCTGTCGCTTCGTCGCTCCCGAGGCGTTACCTGTGGGAGTGTTCCCGGAGGGCCCCGCACGGCCAGGAGAGTGGAGGCAGCCAGGCGGCGAGCGCTATTCGGGGGTGGACAGAACCCCCAACGGTGACACGTCGATTAGTGAATTGTCCGTTTTCGGTTCTCGAGAGGGTGGCCGTTATTTTCCAGGCTTGCGCCCGCCAGGTTTGGGCCTCAGGTCGTTTTCACTAAACCACGTTTTACTAAAGGGGGGTCTGTCCATCCCCGAGCTATAGCCAGCGCTGCGGGCCTCGCGCACTGAAGAGCGGCGGAGCTCGGGTGGTTTTGTGGGCCGGGCGGGGGGCGATCACGCTGACACTGCGTTGTCGGATCGCTGGATGCCGTGTGGGCCACGCGCAGAGCGGGGTAGGGGGAGGGGGAGGCTTCTCAGAAGCACCCCTACTCCTTAGAAGGCGCGGGCCTCGTCTGTAGATGTAGGGCCGGCGCCTTCCAAGAAGCATTCTCCTTCTAAGAAGCCTTCCCCACTCCCCATACCCCCCTTGTGCGCGTCACCAACTGTGGGAGGATCACACTGGCGCCCCGTTTCGGGACCACATGGGGCCGACGAGCGCGATGTGCGCCGAGGGGGCCCGACTAAGGCAATGCGGGTCAGGCTGGGGGGAGTGACGAGCACGCTCCATATGGCAGCATGCTTGGGCCCTTCCAGCAGAGGGCCTCGGCTTCGAGGAGCGGAGGAGCTGACATCTCTTCCTCGGCGGAGGGCGGCGGAAGCTGGCGTAGGGCCACACGAGGGCGTCTCCGCAGGCGGAGGCCCGCGGAAGGCCAGCGGATCTCTTGGGGGCTCCGGGGGTTCTGGAGCCCGCCGCTAGTCATGGCGCCAGCATCGCACAGCGCATTTCGCTCGAAATCGGTATCGGTTGACCGATCCCCATCCCCATCTCCATCTCCTTCGAGACCCCCGCCAAATTACCACCCCAGTTGGGGATACACCCCTCGAAACCTGAAGATAACAACCTATAGCCCCATCTAGGGGGGGGACATCGGCCAGTGGGGCCCAGACCACGCCGCTGGGGATGGGGATCGGTTAAACGGCACTCACGGAAAACAGTAGGATGGGCCCAGAGTGTCCTGGAGAATTTCGTTCCGGATTTCGAAGTGAATTTCGCGCGGACTTTTTGTTGGCCAGGAATGAAGACAAAACAACATCCACGTGAAATTCACTTCGTTTTCGTTCGCCGCTTCGGAGTTCTGCAGTGACAGAAATCCATGCAAAAATCCGCTGCAGCACGTTTGCAAGGTAAGGTCGGTGCAGTGCCACTCACCACCCACCAAACCACCCTAACCCAACTCGAAAATTCTGGAATTCGGGTTGACTTGGGGTGGTTTGGTAGGTAGTCAGTTATGTGTCGAAGAAGACAAAGCGCCGTAAACATAAACTTTTGGCGTTCCGCGCGGATTTCTTCGATCCGCGCTGGGCCCTCGGGCGGCGCCTCGGGCGCCGCCCATGACGTGCTCCGCGCGCCAGGGACGGGGGCCCAGCGCAGATCCAAGAAGTTCGCGCGGAGCGCCAAAAGTTTTATGTTGATGGCCCTTTTTATTCTTACGATGTTCACCGAGCGCGTTCCGGTACTTACAAAGTGCCTACTCGCAAACAACCGAAAAACCATACGTCTGCCGTGGTGCAATATATTGTAAATCCACCGCATCGGATCCGTGCCATCTGGGAGTCGCTACTTTGCGAGTAGTGGAACGCGCTCGTCTACATGCGTTGCCCGCGCAAGAAGAGCCGCAGCCGGGGCCGACGAATGGTGCAGGTGACCCCCTTCACGGGTGATGCGCGTGAGGGTTGCCACGTGTGTCCTCCTCCCGAGGGCTTCCCCTCGTGGGCCACGCTGCGCATCCTGCTGGGCACCAACAGATTCGGACATTTCGGGTGGAACGACGTCAGGAGGGCCAAGCCGACCTCCTTCTAGAAAGCCAACATCCGAGGCCGATGCCAAATACCGCTCTCACGTCTTAGCCATAACCGTCTATGGACACGATGGGTGCTTGACGTCCATGGACACTTTCGGGGCGAATAGGTCTATGGACAACATGGCCGTTGCGTTCGGCGCGGTGCAAGGTCGGAGAAAGGATAGATCCGTCTACGGTATGTTCCTGTTGTAGAGCAGGTTCCACATGGTACTCCAGCCCTCGTGGGCCATGCTGCGCATCCTGCCAGGCACCAACAGGTTGGGACACTTCGGTTGGAACGGCTTCCCTTGTGGACGCCGACCTGCCCCCACAGGGACCTGCAGTCGAACCCGTAGACTTGGCTTGGTCCCCTCAGACAAGCCAACTTCTGCTTCCAGCAACTCTCACCCATGTCCTTGGAGTTCCATGCGCAGTATTGATGGGTGTACATCTGAAGGACGGCATCTTTAAGGACGCGCGTGCCACAAGCTCGGGGAATTCCCCCTTTGAGGCCAGACGCCGATCCGACGCCATGAGAAGATGTGGATTCTCCTTTCCAAGAAAGAAATAGGTTCTACCACCTTCCCCCCCCCGGATTTATCGATTCCCTGGGAACCTACATAAAACATTTGATTCTGACCCAATGCCCACCCTACCTGTGAATTCATACTATCCCAGCCAAGCCAGTATCGGTCCCCTCTCGGTTCCCGTGCAACACAAGATACTATCCGCGCGCGCTCGTTTATCCAAAATCAGAAGTTCCCAATAGTCCCTTGCAACAAAAGGCACGACATGCACACGCGCGCGTCGTCGCGCGCGCATTCCGAAATCCTTCAAAAACTTTCGGTGTCGGAAGGATTTCAAAATCGAATGTCCAAAAAACATAAGATTAGCCTGGCGAAAGACCCAACCATATGCAGTTGTGGGTGCCGCAATTGTGAATATCTTCTTCGGCGAAGCTCCCTATGGGGCCACGGAACGTTGCACTGGGTTGGAGGGAACGTTGTACTGGATGGGTGGTGTGCCAAATGAAGCTTCCGGGACGCATGCGGACGGTTCCATTGGGGGCTTTGATGGAGCTTCCGATGGGGCCACGAAGCGCTGTATTGGGTGGGTGAAAAATGCCAAATTGGGTTTCGGGGGCGCATGCGGACGGTCCCACTGGGGGCTGCGGTGGAGCTCCATATGGGGCCACGAAACGCTATACTGGGTGGGTGAACGGTGGAGCTCCCTATGGGGCCACCAAGCGCTGTACTGGGTGGGTGAAACGCAGGGAGGAGGGGGAGGAGGGCCACGAAACGCTGTACTGGGTGTGCGGGACGCACGCGGACGGTAGCACTGGGACCTTCGGTGGGGCTCCCTATGGGGCCACGAAACGTTGTACTGGGCGGGTGAAGCGCAGGGAGGAGGGGGAGGACGGAGGAGGAGGGACAAGGGGGAGGAGGAGAAGGAGGAGGAGGAGGAGAACGCGGGGCGCTGTCTCTTCAAAACGAGGACCCAGCACCACCCGATGGTTGGGAAAAAAAAACAGGACTCGCAACACGGATTTTCAACACAAACGTGCGCGCGCTCTTGCGATTTTTTTAATTAAATAGGTTTTCAACATTTTCATGACGTGCTACCAAGCGGGTTTCGCGCGCGCATGCCGAAATCGTTCGAACGCCCTTGCGCGCGTGGTGGGATGGCACGATCCGTGTCAAACAATACCATTCGAGCCACTGTCGCGCGTCTGTTGCGCGCGCGTGTATTCCGTCCAAAACCTTCTACCTACGCGAAGACGACGTCATCGTCGTCGGCGTGATCAGCATCGGCGCCGTCGCTGGCTGTGCCGTCGTCGCTGTCAGCATCATCACCAGCATCGCTACTCGTGTCTACCGTGAGCGACGTTGACATGATACCGCGCCCGCCCAAGTCGCCGACTCGCACCGAAGTGCCCGCTGGCATGTGCCGAGCGGTCAGCACCACCGCGTTCGCGTCGGCTGCGCCAAACTAGCTGGCCGCTGCGCGCCCGAGCATGCGCGGGCTAGCGCGGCCGCAGAGACGCACCAGCCAACACCCAGCACTCATCGCAATCGCTCCCGTGGGTGGGTGGGATGATTGCGCGAGCAATTGAGTTGACAACTTGAAGTTCGGCAAGTGAGTTTGCACCACTTATTTGCACCACACAACTTCCGTCATCACCACCCACGACAGTTCGTAACACAAGGACGTTCCAAGCGGAACCGCCGCCAAACCATGCATACCGTAGCACGCTTAGGCACAACCGCACCGGAACCAAACGAAGTTAATCTGCTGCAAGGACGTCTCATGCGAATCCGCGCCGGAACCAAGCCAAATCAGGCAACGTGTCCAAAGCAAACCAGGCAAATTGTGAGGACGTCTCAGGCGAAGCCGCGCCGACACCAAAGCAAAAGCAGGCAAATTGGGATGACGCCTCTGGCGAGACCGCGCCGACACCAGGCTAAAGCAGGCAAATTGTGAGGACGCGTCGGGCGAGACTGGCCCCAGGCCAGGCCAGGCCGGGGGCCCAAGTCAGGGCCGGGTGAGGCCCCAGGTTTGCAGGCCCCGGGTTTCCAGGTAGTTTTTTGGGGCCTGGCCAGGCCCAAGGCCCAAGCAGTGGCTTGGCTACAACGGGGAGTGTTGAGGATGGCTCGCGCGGGGCGCCCCGCCAAACCAGGCCAAACCAGGCGCAGCCAGGTGCCCAACCAGGTAATTGCTGAAGACGCCGCAGGCGAAACGCCCCAGACCAGGCTCCATCCGTTCTTTTCACCAAACTCCTCCTCCTTCTCCTCCTCCTCTTCCTCCTTCTCCTTCTCCGCAGGGGGACCCTGGAATCATAATTCCATAGGGTCAGGGGGTGCGCGATCCCAACGGGAACGATTTTGAATTGCAGTTGTTTCCTGCTCGCTGTGTGTTTTTCAGGCTCGTGCTCGGCCCCCGTGCCAGCGCCCAGCCTTCTGGGTGGCGGCTGCTCGAGGGGGGGGCGCGGGGTGGCCGTCCCCGTGCGGCACCTCGTGTTTGTCCAGGCTTGAGAGAGCCGTCGTGAGGATGAGAGGGCCTGGGAGCCGCTTCGGAAATCAGACCGGCTGTTCTGGTGAGCTGTTCGTGCGACTGCGCCGTCGTGTTCGCGAGACGGGCCGGGCTGTTCCCGCCACGGGCTTGTCTCCATGAGGGCGATACGGGGATGGTTGCGATGATGATGATGATGATGATGATGATGATGATGATGATGATGATGATGATGCTAATGATGATGATGATGATGATGATGATGATGATGCTGATGATGATGATGATAATGATGATGATGATGATGCTGATGATGATGATGATGTGGACAAGCGACAACGACGATGATGCTGATGTTGGGTATGCTGATGCTGATGCTGATGCTAAGGCTAGCGACGACGACGAGGGAGATGATTATAAGGATGACGATGATGATGACGATGACGATGACGATGACGATGACGATGAGGATGCGGATGATGATGATGCTGATGATGATGATGATGATGATGGTGATGATGGTAATGATGATGCTGATGATGATGCTGATGATGATGATGATGATGGTGGTGGTGCTGATGATCTTGGTGGTGTTGATGATGGTGGTGGTGGTGGTGCTGATGGTGGTGATCATGGTGGTGATGATGATGATGGTGATGGTGATGGTGACGATGATGATGATGATGATGATGATGATGGTGGTGGTGGTGATGGAGATGGTAATGGTGATGGTGGTGATGATGATGCTGAAGATGCAGATGATGATGCTGAGAATGTAGGTCACGATGCTGATGGTGCTGATGATCATGATTATGGTGATGGTGATGCTGATGATGCTGATGATGACGATGACGATCGAGGCTGTGGGTGACAATGGTGATGGTGGATATGATGCCGATGCTGCTGCTGATGGACACGATTACGACTACGACGGTAATGCTATTGATGATGACGATGATGATGATGATACTGATGATGATGATGATGATGATGATGATGATGATGGTGATGACGATCATGATGATGACGCTCGCAACGAGGCGACACATGAGGAGGACGAGGAGGAAGACGATGACGATGGCGTTGATTATGGTAATTACGACAGTATGCATGGTGATGATTGTGATGATGATGACGACGATGATGCGGGTGCTGGTTAATATGATGATGATGCAAGTGAAGATGAAAATGCTGATGACGATGATGATGATGATGATGATGATGATGGTGCTGCTGCTGCTGATGATGATGATGGTTATGATGATGATGATGATGATGATGATGATGATGATGATGATGATGATGATGATGATGATGCTGCTGCTGCTGCTGCTGCTGATGATGATGATGAT